AAAAAACATGTTTTGCCATCTAAAATATATCATGGCTTTTACACAACGCTACTACGCCGTTTTACGCCATCAAGAAAGACTTAGCACTGAGAAATTTCTAGGAAATGTTCCCTTTCACTGCTTTTCATGCTGTATCCTACTATTTTAGTACTTTGTAGTGGTTATTCGAAATTCCTACAAACAAACCATTAAACAGATTACAAGTATTGTCAAGTTCTTTACGGAAAATACAATTTCGAGCACAGGTAGGCTGCACAATTAGCTATAGTAGCGAACTAAGTGAGCAAGCTTTGAAAGATTGGAAAGCAGTAAATGAAACATGTGGAGCGAGACCACAAATACCGGCATCAAATCCATGCAAACAATTAGATCAGTCCTTTGACTTTTCATGATCTTCCTTCAGCTTCTGAGCATATGTACCCTCTCTCTTGATGTGACCTTGAGAGCTCTTTCGTGATACGTCTCGAACTCCCAGATGGCGATATCTAGAAAAACGACGTGACGAACATAACAACCGAAAAGCGCCCCATCTAATGTACCTGTATAGCTTTCTTCCGTACTTTAATTTATTCTTCTCGTATTCTGTGCGCACCTGAAAACGAAATTCGAGCTATAAGTGCGGCGAGGTACGATAGAAATGTTCTAGTAATAATGACTTTTTGTTGATGAAACAGGTGCTACATCGAGCGATTTTGAGTGAGCAGAACAACGACATTAATTAGAAAACTTATCCAAAACAGCCACAAGCAGAAATTCATATGAATACGAGATTATCGAGCATTCGCAAAACAAAATTGGGATAAACGAAAACGAATTACTGCACCATGCTTTGACGACAAACCTTGTACTCTACTTCGCGAGCAGTGCGTAATTTACCCATTCGTCGTAACAAAGAAAATGTTGCTTGAATGAAGACGAGTGTTGTTGCGTATCTGAGGGGAGTAGCAACCTGAATTAAATGCACTGAGAGATGCATAGTGAGCACGAAAAAAACTTGTACGAGAGGTTTGTGGGAAGCGGTCGAGTGGCGCGATTTCCGGCTGTCACTTTATATACATGCT